GCCCTCAGAAGCACAGTGAGGTTACAGAAGGGTTAATCCTCTCCTGTACACACACGGAGAGAGACCCAGGTCTTTAAGACTTTCCCAATTATTCTGGAAATCTATCAACTCCCTTGGGATCAGATACCAATAATAATCACTGGCTAAGTGGCTTGTTCAGAGCACTTAAGGCTTAGAGGCGCAGCAAAAACTGGGAGGTAGATTTTTGACTACTGGTTTACTGGGGTCCTAGACAACGAGGTGTAAATCCCACTGATAAGCACCCTTAGTGCTCAGGGTCCACAGAAACTAAGCCAGTGATAGGCTGGGGAGTGGTGTGGTTGGAGACAGGCACATGAATCGCTAAGTCCTCAGAGGAGATGATTAGTGGAGAGCGGATTCTCTGCTGTGCCTTTCACCAGGCTGCCAGCTGTGCAGCCTACCTCTGGCACTTCAGCATTCACCATGGAAGTGACTCGAGGCACTGGGCTCTCACTAGTAGTGGGGGCGCTCCCGCTGAAGAGCTGCTCCCATTAGTTCAGTTACCTCCTCTCCATTCTTATCACTGTTTAGAAAGAAAGCTCCAATCTGTTCGTTAGTGGTTTAACCTTCGCTATAAATCGAGGGGCCCCCCGCACTTTGCTCTGACATCGTTGTCCTCGTTATCTTGCCTGTGCCCCAAAGGGAGGCAGAAGAGTTAGTTAGGGCTGACCTCAGTGGAATAAGAATGAACTCCCCAGTCTCACTATTTTTCTCTTTCGCTGGGGATTGTGACATCAGAGCAGGAGCCCGTATACTTCCCAGGCCATACAAATATTTTTGAAATCATTTCGTTGCTCAGTTACATAGATATAGTAAAACACCCTAAATAATAAAAGGATAAGAGGGATTAACAGCATGGCTAAAAATGGATCTTACGTCATTGTTTCTCCATGCAGCCCAATTAAGATGGTTCCTGCTTAAGTCTGAGTCATCCATTTGCCATCCCTTTGGCTCACATCTCAAAAAGTACCTGTGTTTCATTCCTAATTAGCACTTCCAACACCTCTCTGGCTGAATTGCAGGTATATTATGTAGCGATGTATGTCCACCTCTAGCTCTTTATCATCGCAGGGCAAACCTCTGAAAGTTCAGAGTCTGAGGTGGCTGGCTTAGGATTGGATGAGCCACGACCTTGTGAATTTAGAGCAGTATCCACGTTCTTTAAAATTGTAGGATGCTCAGTGCCAGGGTTTGGGATTCTTTGGCTGGTGAGGGGGAGATGGAGCCTTCTCTAGTTAGGATAACCACAGGTTTTGAAACTCACCTATGCAAAACTCCTCTGTTCACATCAGAGCTAAAACATGGCAGTGTGTGTATAATTCCCAATGAGTACTTGCAAGTCAAGATCTGTCTGCTTATGGTCATGCATAAATCCCAATATGTATCTATGAAAGGCAGGCGTATATGAAAGGGTGTGCAAGCTTGAACATTTGGCCCCTAGCAGCTTATTTTATTCTCTTAAGTCTACAAAGCATGCTGTAAAATAATTGTAATGTGTTTGCTTAGTTTGTAATGGAAGTTGTATGTTGAGAACTCAACAATGTTCTATGACTTCTGTTTTATAGGCAGTGTTTGTGTATGTTTAATTGTCAGTCCCTATGTGATCTCTCCAAATTTAGTGAGTCAGCAAACTGGGAATGAAAATTTCTCAATCAGGCATTTTCATGAGTTCTTTGATACTTCCTCCTTTTGGCTATGCCAGAAATAGCACACGACTTTTCTTTACGACTTTTGCTTGCGGTCCCAAACATAAGAGAGTTGGACTATTGAAACTAATAAAGAAAAGTCCAGAACCAACTTTTCTTTCTTTCTTTCTTTCTTTCTTTCTTTCTTTCTTTCTTTCTTTCTGAAAAAGGTTGATTTGAGCTTGATTAGAATTTTGGGTGAGGTTCAGGTTGGTTCTTATTTTATTCAAATCAATTCATATGTGCCTGTGGGCACGTGCGCGCACGCACGCGCGCGCACACACACACACACACACACACACACACACCCCGGCAGTGTGACATATAGCAGGCAGAGTTTTGGTTCATGGATTGCTGTTGCGAAACAGCAAATCCAGCTGTCACAATTTTTTTTAAAAGATGCCACTGAAAAATAATAATATACAATTATTTTTTTAAAAAAGTAGTATTTGGAAATTTTTTGTTTGTTAAAGTCAAAATATTTCTTAAAAATACCTTTAGATGTTTCCAGGACAAAATCTTCTGTAATAAAAACCTGAAACATATAATTGCATTGGTTTGTGCAGTGAATTGGGCATGATCCAAAGTTTGTTTAGCTCAACAAACTGATTCAGAAAGGTACATGCCACTTTTTGCTCTCTATAATTGCCCTCTCTTGGTACCACTGGTGTGGCTCCTCTGAAGCGAGTACTAATGTACGCAGTGCAGCAGATAGCTGCTGATGTGTTAGTCAATGGCTTGTCGGTAGGTCTGCCCAGCTGTAGCTGCAGCCAGTGCAATTTTCATCCCCATCAAAATCACTTTGTGTTATTACAGTTTATAACGTTCTGCTGTCATACGTGCACTTGTTATGTCATCACTAGGCTGTTCATGGTCATACCTACATGATCCCTAAGTCATCTGCAAGGATTGGACCCTGCCTGGACTTATGGATCTAGTACCTCATCTTGTACACTACATTCCTGTGTCGATCTAACCAATGCAATTTCAGCAATGCAAATAGCATAGCTGAAGTTAATGTCCTTACTGTGGTGTCTTCCACGTGGTAAGGGCAGCAGGAGCTGCTCTCCCATTGACTCCAGCTACTCTTCTTATCTTGGTGGAGTACTGGCATCATCAGGAGAGTGCTTGGAGGTTGATTTATCATGTCTAAGCAGACAAGATAAATCAATCTCCAGTGGATTGATTCGGTGGATTGATCGATCTCTGGTGGATTGATCATTCACCGTGTACTGAAGACAGGCTCTAAAAATATAAGCCACTAATGTTTGAGCCAGAAGGACAACTGCATTATTGTTGAGACGGTAATAGACTCATTAACCTCCCTACGGTTAAATCTTCACAGCCCTTGGCAGCAAGCTTTCAAACGCAGGTCAATAGACTTGGGCTTGTGCTAATGTTCTAAACACAGCTGTCTAGACAGCTTTTCGTTGTTATAGCTTGAGCTGAAGTTCAGGCTGTAAGTGCAGGAAGTGGGATGGGCTTCTGACCCCGATCTCCAACTCAAGCCGCAACTTCAAAATGGCATCTGTCTACACAGCTGTTGTTCAGAGCAATAGCCCAAGCCCAAGTCTGTTGATCCAGATTGGGAGGCTGGCTGCCTTGGGTTGTGTAGACAAAGCCAAATACTTTAGCCCCTAGAGAGGGACAAAGAGACACATTGATTAAGCTAGCACTCTCACCAGTACTAATGCCTGAACTTTGGCTAGCAATAGTATTTTAGAATGGACAAAAGTTAGTCATAGAATCATAGGACTGGAAGGGACATCGAAAGATCATCAAGTCCAGTCAGCTGCACTCATGACAGGGTCAAACTCCATCAAGATCATCCCTGACAGGTGTCTGGCTAACCTGCTTTAAATATCTCCAGTGATGGAGATCCCACAACCTCCTTAGGCAATTTATTCCAGTGCTTAACCACCCCGACAGGAAATTTTTCCTAATGTCCAACCTAAACCTCCCTGCTGCAATTTAAGCCCATTTCTTCTTGTCCTGTCGTCAGAGATTAAGGAGAATAATTTTTCTCCCTCCTCCTTGTAACACCCTGTTAGCTACTTGACAGTTGTTATCATGTCCCCTCTCAGTCTTCTTTTCCAATATTGAAAGCAAGGCTGAAGCAAACTTCCACTTGGTGTTACTAGTAAGAATTTTTTTTTCCGCTAATGCTTTAGAAGTAACTGTATAATTAATAACATCCTGGGAAAGCAACAACTAAGCCTGTTCTTTAGACAGAATGGATCACTTCTCACATCTAAGTCAACATTCTAGATAAGGGACAAATGGGAGATCTTTTGCCTTAAAGGATCCTTGTGTACGTGTCCTGCCAGCAGACATGGGGCTGGGCCTGGATTGGGAAATGAGAAAGGATACAGAAGCCCAAGTCAGGATGCTAGACCAGAAATATAATCTTTATTATTAATAATATGTGAGCAGCAGCATGACTCCAAACTGAAAAATAAATAGATTTTCTTTACACAGACAGACAGATCCATCCACAGCAGCAGTAACAACAGTGAGAGAACCATTCATTGAGGCATTTTGTATACACAAAGATTAGTGAATAAATTAAAGGCTGAATCAGATGAAGGCTTTGTATCTTCCTCCTCCCTGCCTCATGTCTCCTCCTCCCAGCATGCTTCATTTAAAGGAGGGTTAAAACAGTGACCACTTGCTGGTTTATTCTCCAGGTCATATTTATCCAAACTGCCTCCACATGTCCTGAGGCCTGGGGAAACGGCATTGTAACTCCCACACCCAGCCCCAGAGCACTTAATAAGCACCTCAGCAATCTCACAGTGGGTGTGATCTAACACATCTGAAGTCAGTAAAAACATTACCATTGATGGGATTACCTGCATGCTTAACTTTAAGTGCCCACTTAAGCGCTTTGCTGATTCAAAGTATCAAAAACTCTCACTAAGGCACCTTTGACCCTCCATATTCCCTTTCTGCAGCCCACTTGCCTGCAGGGCAGGGAGACAATGAAGCTACAGAATATATATTTGTATTTAATTGTGTTTTGTATTTGCACAACCTAAAATAATTAGAATCCCCCCTTTCGGAATGAGCGCCCTCACTGGTAGATGGGCAGAATGCAAACTAGCATATCCACTTGCGTTATTAACTCTCTCTGGGTATGTTTACACTGAGGAGTCATTTCGAAATAACTCCCCTTATTTCAAAATAACAATGTGAGTGTTACCAAGCCTGTTATTCGGAAATAAGGGGCTGGTTATTTCGAAATAATAGCTCCTACTTTCCTTGGGGAATAAGCTTATTTAGAAATAGCTTCTTTCGGGAGTTGTTGTTTCAAAATAAGTTATTTCGAAATCATTTTGCAGTGTAGACTTAGTCTACACATCAGGCTGAGCATGGAGGCTCCCCTGCCCCCCAGTAATTCTGTGAATGGGTTAAATGTGCAATGTGTGTTTGTTTTCATTAAGACTCCTTAATGAGTCCCAATGGGAATTAGATAAATAGAGTTCCACTGAAGGGCTGGTTTCTCCTTCTCTCCTTCTAATTATCCTTATCCTGGGGGGGAAATAGATTTTTAGGTGTTTACAGCGTGTCCTAACACACTGGTGGAGTTTTCTTGGGAGCCAGAAAAAGCCACAAAGTTTGCTACTAGACTCCATTTTGGATAAGATGAAGGGGGCCAATTGACCAGACTCTACTAGGGGTGGGGCTTAAAGGTCTGTAAAACTGGCCACTAGTCCCAAGGAAGTTACTCCAGATTGGGAGTTCAGCCTAATCAGAAGACTGCTTCCATTCTAAGGTGATGGTTGTGGTTAAGGTAGCTCCGAGTTTCACTTCTACCAGTGCTCAGAAACTCATCCCAGCTTGGAAGTCTGTTGTGGCTTAGATGCTTGTTCCAGCCTGGAAGGTTAGTTGAGCTCAAGATCTTATTTTAGCTTTGGGGGGACTACTCCAGGCCAGAAAGCCCAGCCCAATTTCAGAAATTGAATTTGGGTTAGGAGTTCAGCTAAAAATAGGGCCTAGCTCTGGTAGGATTCACTTACAACTCTTTTTGCCCTCAAAGGAGATTCAATACAGGGCTGCTTGTTCTTCATGAAGCTGCTACTGGGATTTTTTTTAGTTAAATGGACATGTTTCCTGTAGAATCTTAAATTAAAAATCCCGTATGTCCAATATTTGTAATGGACTCCTGACTACTTCTGCTTTTTAATTTCCTCAATTGCACTCGAGTCTGTGACCCACAGTCTGTAATGTGATGCTGTATTTGGGACTGAGCCAAAGTCCATTGTAGGCAACAAGAATTCCAGTGACGTCAGCAGATTTGGGGCAGGCCCTTAATCCTTCCATCTTCCATTCAAACTGGATCATCTTTAAATACATCTTTAAATGACTGTGGAAATATAATGGGGATTGAGCTACAGTACAAACCTAAGGCCAGGTCTACACTGCAGGGGAAAGATCAGCTTAAGGTACACAACTGCAGCTATGTAAATAACATAGCTGGAGTCAACGTATGTTAAGCCAAGCTTGGCATCATTTCCATAGTGGGAGGTCAATGGGAGAAATGCTCCAGTCAACTTCCCTTACTCCTCATGACTGCAAGGAGGATGGGGGCACCCTCAGCATTAGATTTAGTGGGTCTAGTAAAGACCCTCTAAATCAAACCCTGAAAGATGGATCGCCAGAATGTTGATCCTCTGGTAAGTGGAGGTGTTGCCTAAGAGAAAACGGGTTGAAGCTGTTGCCCAGGACTTGGCTGAAAACACAGTGGCCAAGTGCCAGAGCAGGGCGCCATCTCTGTAAGGGTGGAAGAAAGAAGCACCAGTGGCAGAGGGAAGAGAAGGAACATGGTTTTTCTATTAACTGATAACATTCAGAGCATCGATTAAGGAGTGAAGCTCATCCCTCACATTCTCCAGAGAGTGGTGGATCTTCTGAGAGCTGTCCAGGAGGTCAATGCTGTGGGTGTAGGGATCATATTTCACCGAGAAGGGTCGCTTGATGCGTGCAGCATAACTCCTGCAGGGAGAGAGGAAAAAGCAAATGTAGGGAGTAGAAAGGGGCTGTGACTCAAGCGGGCTGAAAATATGAGGGGTGGCATGCTCCCCTCAAATACCTTCCAAGCTCTGTTTTCAATCCCTCGCCATTTTAAAATTTTGTCAACTTAAAAAAAAATCTGCACTTGTCCCAACATCAAGCTAATTTCATACAACAGTGGCAAAGACGTGGTCTCAGAGTACGCCTAGCATATTTCTGTGCATTGGAGTCACGCCTGGGCTGAATTGGTCTCTGCACTGTTCGCTAAGTTAAGTTAACTCCGAGAACACAGGTTAAAATGTTGCCTTGAGTCAAATGTAAAAGTGAAGTTAGTCTGGGAGGATGTTTGCATAGATGTCAAAGAACCGTCCATTTTGGTGTGGGGCAAAGTGAGTAACATCCAGATTTTCAGAGGTGTCAAACCAATTATTTTAATGGGAACTAGATGCTTAAATACTTCTGAGAAGCTGGGTATTAGGGTATTTGGAGACTGAGAGCTTGTGCACATGGGGAAGTTATGAGGGCTCTCAGCTGCCACAGGCCCTTTAAAATGCCATTAGCCCCCTGTTGGGCTGGGTAGAGGATGGGCACTGTGTGGTCCCAGGAGCATTGAGGGTGCGCTTCCCCCCATCCTAACACTCCTGCTCAAGGCCTATCCCTTCCAGCAGCACGGAGCCACCAGAACCCAGAACCCCCCTCCTCCCCCGATCCCCACTTTGCCCAGAGGCCCAGCAATTCTGTCGGTCTCCCTGAAAGCACCTAAATGAGTAACATGGTTTTCCACTACTGAATAAATATGGATGTGGGATCTTGACATTGGACCTCCATTTTTGAAACCCCCCCCCAAAAAAAGCTTACAGAGATGGGGGACCACGCTTGTTCTACTAAAGAGTGTTTTTGATAAACCCCGGGTACAGGATTCATTATTTCTAATGGCAATAATTGCCACAGGTAAACAGGTATCAGCAGGTTCTGGTGGGATAGAGGTGCCTGGCACCCAAAGCACATAAGAACACTAGAATAACCAATGGCATTAAACAATATCCTGTCCAGTTCACACTAATGCCAATATTTGACCAAGATGTGTAAATACCTGGCTCACCTGCAACTTTTACTGATAGTCTTTATACTATGTAGCCAGTAACATTTGTCTTTCCTTAGGTTCTGGCACCCTCTTGTGGTGCTCAAATTGTCATTCACTCGCGGTTCATTTTGGGAAATACACTCTCTTCAACAAAGCAGAATAGTAATAGAGGTGTAGCCGTGTTAGTCTGGTCTAGCTGAAACAAAAAATAGGACTATGCAGCACTTTAAAGACTAACCAGATGGTTTATTAGGTGATGAGCTTTCGTGGGCCAGACCCACTTCCTCAGATCAAATTGTGGAAGAAAATCGGCATGACCATATATACCAAAGGGATACAATAAAAAAAAACCACTTTTTTTGATATGCCAATTTTCTTCCATAATTTGATCTGAGGTAGTGGGTCTGGCCCACAAAAGCTCATCACCTAATAAACCATCTTGTTAGTCTTTAAAGTGCTGCATAGTCCTTTCTTTCGTTTCAAACAAAGGAGTATTTTTCAACAAGAAATATCTGCCTGAAACCAAGCAGTGACTTGAACCAGGGCGTCTCACCATCCCAATGACTATCTTAACCACCAGACTGTAGGCTACACTGGGGTAGATGGTCTCCCTCAGTTTTCCCCCCAAAGGTCTCCTTTTTTTTCCAATGTGGAATGCAACCATATGTTGAAATGTTTCATGAAACAGAGCTCTTGTTTTCTGGCCAGGTATATTACCTTCCTCACACTCCTAATTATGCCACTGTTGAGCACTGTTGAGCATTGTTACTTGGGTAAGAATTAAGAGCTCTTTGAATGCTAGCTCTGACAAGGCACTGAAAGAGTAAGCATAATAGACAATAGTTGGTCTTATTGGAACTGCACTGGTCTGCTGCAAATTGGGATGGAGGGAAATATTAATAATTAGAAATATGGGTTCTTTGAGCATCCATATCTCAATACTCAGAGATCTTCCTTCATAGGAACCAGGCCCTTTAAATCACTGCTGGAGCACTGTGCGGCATGCTTCAGGCAGCACTGAGGGTGCACCACAGTCCAGGGACACTGAGGGCTAGCTGCCCCTGGCCCTGCCTCTTCCGCCCAACCTCTCTCCCCCCTCTCGCACCTCTGCAAATTCTCCCATTGGCTTCCTTTACTCCTCACAAAAGGAGGATTACCACAGGCTAGCGGGAGCTGCCCTCAGCATTCCTATAATAGACCTGCTAAATCGAACGCCAGAAGATCAACCTCCAGAACGTCAGTCTTCCAGTATGTATAGACATGTCCTCATTGGCTGAACATTTCTATGTGGGCAGGACAGGCCTCTAGAAAGAACTGAGATGCTGGCCTTACTAATTCATCATTTCATCAGTGTCAGACATACTGCCATGTTCACGCTAAAAGACAAAGTGTTACGCTTTTCAAAGGGTAAATATAAAAATATGATTTGGCGTCATGTAACACAAAGACATTTAGATGTTGGGGAGGGAAGTTGTATGGAAGCTTATTGACTGCCAAGGACTGTTGCTTGCCTTCTCGCATAAAAATCTAGGGAAAGGAACAAACAGCCTTACAGCTCTTTCTAAATTCAGCCATATTCTCCTGCCCGATATGGGTGCTCACACAGTCATACCATTAGAGACACTTGTCAGAAGTGCTTTGGGCAGGGAACACGGCTTGAAAAAAGTGAGCATAGCCTGGAGATTCAGGGGAAAATTTGTCCACAGACCCTAGGATCCCCACCCATACTCTGCAATAACAGCATGGCTGGTAGATGTGTCGTATCACCTTTGAGTGAGGAGCTGAGGCTCCACACTGTGACCCCTCTGGTAGGAGTCAGGGAGTGGAGAGAGAAGTATCCCTTCCTTTAGCTCATTCGGTCTGTCCTCCATCTTACTGCAATCAACAGGCCTAATGCCTCTGAGCAATTAAGGGTTCCACAGGTAGGTGTTGTGGCCTCATGCTTTGAGGTCTTGGCGTGAGAATCCCTGGGGTTTATTCGTGACCCTGCTGTGTGAACGATGCAGAGTTGCTTTTAACCTCCTTGTGGCTTAGTTTCCTCACCTGAACCAGGCATTAATATACTTACCTGCCTGTAGGGCCTAGGGAGGTCTCACTAATTATGGTTTCTAATGCGCTTTGAGGTCAAGGTCCCCAGCAGCAAGTGTTCCTAAGAATGATACAAGGGGAAGGCAGGCCGTGGTAGAATTAGAACTGTGTATTTAGTGGCATTTCCATTCCAGATCTTACCTGAGTTTGTCTTTGGCATCGTTGAAGCTTTCGGATACAAAATACACTGGCTGGTAGTTCTGATCCTGGTAAGGCTGCATGGCGGCTGCATCTGGGTCGAAGTTCCGGACCTCCGGCTCGTCCGACAAGGAGTGCTGAGGGAAGCACAAACAAAAGCCAAAACGTAAAGGAGGAGAAGAAAGCTTGTGTGCATGTGTGAGAGAGAAATGCAGAAAGTGGATTGGCTAAAGAAACTGGAGGTGTGCGGGGGTGGGGAGGAAGAGATCTTTTGCGGCAATGTGTCTGCACACAGAAAGGTGGGACAAATTGAGACTTACTATTAGCTCTCCATAGGAGGATAGGAGCCCAGCTCCATAAGCTTTGATTATTCCATTCTGTTTGCAGAGCCCAAACTCCACTGTAAACCAATAGAGCTGTGAAGGGAAGAGAAAAACAAGCAAGGAGTCACTCCTCTTCTCCCTCCTCTTCATTTTCCTTTCACTTCCCTGCACTAGTTCAGGTCAGAGAACAGCCTTCCTGGGGCTGTTACTTGGGTCTGAAGGGAACCAGAGAGGTCACTGGCCACAAATCCCAGTCACAACTCTCATATGCTTTTCCAAGAGCTTCCATCTCTCCAGCGTGTCTGCCTAGACTGTGCCCATTGCTGTCACATCTGACTTGCATTGACTCATTGAGACCTTCTCCAGAATAAACCCCCATTGTTGGGTGATGAAATGCCTGTTCTCTACCACTTACTTTGGAAGCTCAGGGGGCATGGTGCCACCCTGGCTGATTTCATTGCTGGGACAGTGAGAGAGACAGTGAGTTAACGATCTTATTGGGGTCTCCAATAGCATGGGGTTCTAAGCAGTTGCTTGTATTATGGGTACTCAAGGCCAGTTAGTTTCACTGTGGCTCATCGTGTCTCTGGATAACATACTATATATTCTGGTTATGTCCCAAGTATTCAGCATTAGCAGAATACCTCTATTAATTGGCCTTGAAGCTGAACATGGTTAGGCAGACTCAAAGGAAAAGGATGTCACTTACTCCAGCTCCAAATATTCCTTTCAATGCTACCCAGTAAATCCCACATCTTTGAAAATCTGATGCCCAATGATATGGAACTGGGGGTGCCCAGTGTCCATGAAACTTAATGTGTGGTCAGGTGAATTCTGCTCGACCTTAGTCTTTGGTAATTGACTTCTGTCACTGTGGGTGCATCTACATGGCACCCTTAGCTCGAAATAAGCTATGCAAATTGTGTAGCTTATTTTGAGTGTTTTTCGAAGTAGCTTATTTTGTCATTTGGCGCTGTCTACACAGTGCCAAATTTTGAAATAAACCGCTATTCCGAAACGTCTCTTACTCCTCTTGGAACGAGGTTTACAGGGACATTGGAATAGCACGCCCATTTTTTTTTAAAGCTATTTCAAAATAACGGGTGTGCTGTCAAGATGCGGAATAGCTATTTCGGGATACTGGCAGTATCCCAAAATAGCACCGCAGTGTAGACGTACCCTTTGACTGAGGTCAACTGTTTCCCAGCATGCACTTCAACAGACACGACAGCGCTCCACCACTAAGCCCTGAGTGTTTCATTGGTGGTATGTGACACTGTGGAGAACGCCACTTAAGAAGGGAACCAGAACTTTGTGTTCTCCCCTAATGTTCTTCAGTGGGATAATGCTGGGAAACAAGCTAAGAGAGGATCCCTGGTGACACCTCTGCTGATTGACTGGAGAGAAGATGAGGAAAGAGACAATGAAGATACTATATGTGGAGACAGGACCTTAGTGACTGACTTCAGTGAACCTGTTTGTAGTTCAGGAAAAACTATACCATTTCCTGACTAAACCACATCTCCTACCCATCCCAGCCACTGATACCCAAGGGGAGAAAAGAGGAGGAGGAGCTTAGCAGTTCGGCCAGGGAAAAGGAGTAAAGGAAAACATACAGTGGCAAGTTTTTCAATCTCTTCCTCAGTCGCTCCCAATGATGCTAAGCCAATATCCTAGAAAGCAAAAGGAAAGAGAGTTAAAGTAAACACAGGTTGCAATCAGATCCATTTCAATCCAATTTTACTAATGGTTTTGGCTCTGATGTTACTTGTTTTATGGCCATCTCACATTATCTCCTAGTCAGTAGCTGGAAATCAGCAGCACGTGGCACTACACTAATTCTGAGCTTGGCCTGTAGCAACGTTTTTTGTCTCATTTCCTCTAGCACCTTGTGCTATGGAGGCTGAGAGTGCTGGGGGAGAAGGGTGGTCTTGTGGTTAAAGCACTGGCCTGGGATTCATGAGATCTGGATTCTATTTGCAGGTTGGCCACAGACTCCTCATGTAACCTTGGGACAGTCACTTAATCCTTTGGACCTTAGTCCCCCATCTGTAAAAGAGGGCAGACTCCTCATGTAACCTTGGGACAGTCACTTAATCCTTTGGATCCCCCATCTGTAAAAGAGGAATAATATTTCCTTTCTCCCTGTCTTGTCCACATAGTTGGTAAACAGAAACAATACCACATCTCATGTTCAAAGCCTTTCATGGCCTATCTCCACCTCCCGATCATCTCTCATTCAGTACCAAGCTGTCAGCTCCCTCTGCAATCAGCAAATGTCAGCCTGTGTCACCCATGAGGCAAGCAGATTAGGCTGGCGTTGGGGCTCTCTGTTTCTGCCATGTTGATGCAAAACAACCTGGCTGGGAGAGAGCAGACCAGGCTGCTGCATCACTTCTCTTCCCGCAACTTGTGCCACCACAGTGAGTGCATTTCATCCCGACCCCTGCCTCCACCCTGCACCAGTCCACCCAGGTAATCCTCCAGACTGCCCTGGGCCCTGTGGACTAACATCAATATGGGGAACCGTGCTGTCCATAGGACAGTGGGGGCAGTTGCAGGGGTTGGGCTGCCCAAAGCATGAGGCCTAGGGCAGTTGCCTGAAACCATCGGATGGATGGGACGGCTCTGTCACCCATGTGTTACATTTCCAAACAAGGACATTCATGCTTCTTCCAAGCTGACCCTTCTACTGGGGAAGAGCCCCCCATAAACACCCATAAAGCTGCCTCATTATCTTCCTTCAACTCCCTCACGACAGTCTGTCATGCTGACCAAAACTGTCTCTTTGTTTCCTTGTACGCCCCCAGTGCCCTGTATCCATCAGTTCTCAAATTTAGATTGTAACCTCTTTTGGACAGGGACCTTCTTCTGTTCTGTGTTTGCACAGCAACTAGCACAGCATGGTCCTGGTCCCTGACTAGGGCACCTAGCCAATAGTAATCAAACTACCACAGGAGTAAGTTGGGCAGTGCGCCCCCGTGCGCTGCTCCAGTAAGAAAGGGGCCTGTGCGGTTGGGGGTACACTGCTGTAAGTGGAAGCCACATGCTGTCAGTTGGGCTCTGCGCTACCTCTCAGGGCCCCCACAAGCAGCAGGTATGTGAAAGGGGCGGGCAGGGCGCATGCTGCAGGTGGAAGCATACACACTCTCAGCCGGGCTCCTGGTGTGATAAGTGTGTCCCAGCCTGTCCTGTTGCCCCTCTCACCAGGCCAGCTTTGCAGTGTGCACTGCTGCAGTCCCAGGGGGGGAAGGGAGCAGCAGGCCAGGGGGGTTATGTGCTGCTGCCACCTGTTTGCCTGCATGCCGGCAGAGCCACAGCTCCTCTGACAGGAACAGTAGCAGTGTGGGGCAGGAATCACCTCCAGGCCAGCCCTCAGCCCCCACTCCCACACTCTCTCTTACATACACACACACATAGCCCATCTCACTGCCCTGAGCCCCCAGATGCACCTCAACCCAACCTGTGGAACTCCCTGCCAGAGGATGTTGTAAAGACCAGGATTTTAACAGGGTTCAAAAAAGAACTAGATACATTTATGGAAGTTAGGTCCATCAATACTTATTAGCCAGGATGGGCAGGAATGGTGTCCTGAGCCTCTGTTTGTCAGAGGCTGGAAATGGATGACAGGGGAGGGATCACTTGATAATTCCCTGTCCTGTTCACTCCCTCTGAGGCATCTGGCATGGCCACTATCAGCAGAGAGGGTACTGGGCTAGATGGACCTTTGGTCTGTCCCAGGATGGCCATTCTTATGTTCTTATGACTCCTGCAACCCTCCCCACACCTCAACTGCCTGCCCTGAGTGCCCCCCCCCCCCGCTTACCCTGAGCCCCCTGCACTCCATGCTATACTTAAATTTCTTACAGGTACTGTCATATCACAGTTCTGTCAACCTCCTGCACTGAGTGCCCCCGTCCCCTAACCCAGGGAAGGCTGCAATATAACAGTACTTGTAAGAAATTTAAATTACTGTCACCATTCAAGACTACTACTACTACTACTACTACTACTACTAATTTAGGTGGCCACTCACACACCAGAAATGAACAAAGAGTAAAAACCACAGCTCAAAGTAGAAAGGCCACAAGCAACCTGTGGGCTGAAATATGTTCACACCAAGTACTGGAAGAACAGTTACTAAGAATGAACAAGTTCTTAAAATGCAGTTTGATCTGTGGATAATTTAGTGGGGGTGGAGAGGCCTATGTGCATTGGATAAATTGTTGGCTGTGGATACTCTGTCCAGCTCTAGTCTAGGGCCCTATAGCACACCCTGCAATAACTCCTGCTAGGGCAGCGCTAGGAGTAAACTTTCATACACCTACCATTCCAATGCCATTCCCAGCCATACTGCTGGGGAAAACTGGAAATAGGGTCTAGCCAACACAACTATGCAGATCCCTGCCGTAATTCCTGGTGGGGGAAGTTGGGATTGGAATAGATTTGCGTTCCCACACTGTCCTCTACCATGGCTTCTGAACATCAGGACCCACTAATGGGCTCTCAAAGCAAGGGACGACCTGCCCATATTACCTGGGAGAACTGTGCAAACGTCTTGTCGGCCAGCATGGGCACGTGCCCCAGAAGTTCATGACAACAGTCCCTTCCATTGGAAAGAAAAGAGCAAGGGTTGATTAGTCACTGCTGGAGGATTGAATCCCATTTCCTGACTATACATCATATCAGGAGCAGTGTGAGGACAGGGAGGATTCTGCATTGTACCCAGCAATACTCACGGCTCTGGGGAGTGCATGGGCGAGGATGCATGACGGATGTACTGTGTGCACTGGAATACCCTGAAGGCCAAGCTGGATAGAAAATCACGTGCAGACAGCAAGCCAGCCACAGGTCGGAGCTGGAACCCAGTTCTCTCTGAAATAATCGAAGCAAGTAGAGTTGCCAGATGTTTTAACAAAAAATACTGAACACTGCCCCCCTCCAAAAAAAAACCACAAGGGGAAATAAGTCCCCCCCCCTCCCCGAACAGAATTGTGGAGCAAAAAAAAACAATTTAAAAAAAATGTTTTTAAAGGAGGCTGCCCCTTTAAGATGGCTGCCATCTTGAGTGCCATTTTTAAAACCCCACAGCTCCACCTGGTAAGCACAGGGCAGCTGAGGGCTGGGAGCAGCTCTCGACAACAGATGCTACATTCTCACTCCTCTGCTTAGAACACACATTTCCACCTCAGGCCCACACCCACCTTTCAGGAAGCAGGAGACATCCTCCAGTTGCGGGATGTTGTTCTCGCTGTAGCCGCAGGATCTCTCTAGCAAGTAAAAGGCCTCCAGGTGCTCTTTGCAGGCATGAGTCGGGTACAGACTCTTCAGTGTGGAGTAAACCTCTCTCCTTTAGAGTGGCAGATGGGAGAGAGGGTATGAATTCAGGCCTTCATTGCTCCTCTCATCAGGACTGATATAACCCAGTACACATTCTGCTGCAGTTCCTCTCCCTTGTTTGTTTTTATAACCACTGAGTTTGTATCCATTTACACACACACCTTGGAGTCCTCAGGCACACGTACACTCCCCATCCTAATGTTTGATGCCTTACTGTGGGAGCGGAGAATTCAGATGGTTTATTGACAAGCACAATTCCTGTATCTGTAGATAATTAACTCAAGGCTCAGGTTGCCCTGGGAAAGTTCTTTCTAACTGGCAACACAAAGCCAGTCCCAGTGGCTTTATCTGTTAAAATGTCACACTTAGGGATAGACAATTAAGAGACACCGGATGGACAATGCAGAAATACACATCAGCAGCTCTCCACTGATAGGTCATCCCCATTCTCATTAGTACTCCTATCCTCTATGAGTACGTCTACATGGCAAACAACCTGCAGTAGTGAGTCTATAGACTTGTTTCTTAGGGTTTACGTGAGAACACTAAAAGCTCTAGTGAAGATAACCTGGCTCAGACTGGAGCTAGGCTCTGAAGCCTGATCCTGTCCCCAGGCTTGAAGCCTCACTGCTGTGGGTTTTAAAGTGGTTTAGATGAACCATAATAGGAACCTCTAGAGAGAATAAGAAGTGGAACTTTCATGGACTTTAGATATATGGACTTTAGCCTTCAGAAAGGGGGAGCAGCAGAAATTGATTGATGGTACTAATGGGTTCTGGATGTGCCTTAGAATTTGTTAGGAGGCTGAGCAGCTAGCAAGCAGAGTGGCAGTACAGGTCAGGTTCCCTCACATGCTGCACCTCTTTCTGTGAGTTACAAACAATAGTATCTGACATTCTTGTTCCTTAGGGATGGACCTCCTGGACCTCCCAGTCTGGTAGTCAGAGTCCTTTACAGAGAGGTCATTAGGCAACATTCACACCTTAGTGATATATTTTGAAGATGCCCCACCATGGCCCTTCATTTCTCAACTTCCAGTACTGGCCCCAGTATATACCCCGGACTGTTTTCTGATTGCTCTATTTGCCCAAGGCACACTTTGCCACAAAGGGACAAAATCTCATTTCTTTTATTATTCCTAATTCAGCTGGACAGCATCACAAAGGTGTTTCCATTAAATCAAACACTCACCAGGTAGCTATCTCCTCTGCCCTGTACTCGACTCTAGGGATTGGCTCCCCACTGCAAAACAAACACAGTGGGAGGATAGGAGATGGGGATACACAATAGCAACATGTTTTACACTGTGGAGCCCCAGCCTTACGAAAGCTCACTCTTTGAGAAGACAGCAGTAAGTTTTTGATGCACAACATCAATGCAGTATAATATGGATGAGATAAATGTAAATGGAACACACGGCTAGCATATGAGGCACAGGGTTGGCACAGGCCTACTAAGAAACACAAGTCTCTAGAATATGGGTCAACAATAGAGTTGGGCCAAATTTTTTGACCAAAACTTCTTTTCATCAAAAAGATTCTGTGACATCAAAACTTTTAGTGAATTTCTCACAACATGTTTGGGTCAAAATGAAAGCTTTCTTTTCATCAAAAAGATTCTGTGACATCCAAACTTTTAGTGAATTTCTCACAACATTGTTAGCTGTTTGGGTCAAAATGAAAGCTTAAAAAAATTCTAGAAAAATTGCAGCTTTACATTTCAAAGCATCATTTCATTTATTTAAAAATGCTGAAAATGCTTAAAATCACAACAAAATGTTTTATGGTGGAACAACAAGATATTCTTTTTTAAATATTTTGATTCACTGTGCCTGTCAAAAAAATGTCCTTTTTTTCCCACCCAAAATTATCCGACCCAAATTTTTTCTTGAGTTTTCAGAATTTCCAGTGAAAACTGAAAAATCTATTATTTGCCCAGCTCTGGTCCTCAGGCTAATTAGAGACACATTAATATATGAACATAGGGGTAGCGCAGATCTAACTGGAGACATGGGGCTTAGAATTGACTCTAGGGCTAGGAGGGCTTTAAACTAGTAGTTCATCTACTGGGGTAAACTTTATGCTCAAAACACATAACTGGGACTCAACATAGCTTGACAGTAAAGAATCAGAGCATCAAGGGACATAAGGAGAAGCACTTTTTCAATTGTCTGTGCAGCAGTGCTAAAAATCTGGGAAGTTAACAGAAGAATCAGAAATGCTCATTTATGGAACAAAATTGCTGTCTAGTATTACTGAAACTAGGAGGGTGGAGTCACATGACCAAAATGTTAAAATCACTGGTTAGCCTATATTCTCTTAATTGGGTCTATGTCTCCACTGAGTTAGGGATGTGATTCCCAGCTTGTATGCACATATTCACATTAACTTGGGTGAATATAAATAGTATTACAGCTATGATAGCACGGGCAATGACAGCATGGTTAAGGTGTGCTGCATATGTACCCAGGGGGCTGAGGTAGGTTTGTTCTTGGCATAGCTAAGCTATGCCTCTGCTGCCACTGCCCCTGCTACCACAGATACATTACTGTTTATACTGTGTTAACCCTCATCATGCTAGTGCAAATTTGTGTATGCAGTCTAGGAATTACACCCTAGCTCATAGCATACCTTTAAGAAGAAGGGGAAGGGCGCGATACCCTACATTAAAGGCACTATTGTCTGCTTTTGAGTTACTGGTGATTCACAAGAACAGGAGCAGGAAAGATTATGAATCAATGTTCTTACAGGGGTGGCCAACCTGTGACTCATGAGCCACATGCGGCTTTTCAAAGGAAAAATTGCAGCTTCCTCACCCGCGGCTCTTCTCACGGTCCCCTGCTCTGACCTTTTTCCCTTGTCTGGGCAGGGCGCCACTCGGTGCAGCGAGATCTGATGCTGCTGCCGACGGAAGTCTGCTTGGGCCAGCGGCAGCGGGTTTGTCTATGTCTGTCTGTCTGTCTGTCTGTTTGTTTGTTTGTTTGTTTTTTGCTCAACAACTTCTTTCCCTTGGCTCTTTATTCTGTATCCACCACTATTTTGGCTCTTCGTCTGTAACGGGTTGGCCACCCCTGTTCTACATGATAAATCACAAGAATTATATAGATACACACACACACACACAAACACACACACGCATAAAAAAAACTTGGTGCTTTAAGAGGGACAATTCCCCAAAGCTGACAAATCTGAGTAAAATTGGGAGGGGAGGAAAAAATTATTCTGTATCCACCACTATTTTGGCTCTTCGTCTGTAACGGGTTGGCCACCCCTGTTCTACATGATAAATCACAAGAATTATATAGATACACACACACACACACAAACACACACACGCATAAAAAAAACTTGGTGCTTTAAGAGGGACAATTCCCCAAAGCTGACAAATCTGAGTAAAATTGGGAGGGGAGGAAAAAATTAATTAAATGTCAATTTCCACAATTGCATAAAAGTTTTCTTTGCTTAAAAAAGATCCTGGTAAAAAGGCAAAACACAAGTAATAATTAAAAAATTATATATATATATATAAAACAAGGGAAAGTGGAAAGTTGATAACATTAGTACTAATGGACCATTTGGAAATGCAGATTATTGATAAGGGAAGCTTACGGTGTCAATGAACAATTTATGGCCAGTAGAGGTAAGGAAAATAAGAAGAAAATCTTTAAACATACCAAAACAAACAAAATCCTAACATTGGAATAGATCTGCTAATAAATAAGGATCATAAAAATTGTCAACCATGATGCAAAAAGGAAAAAAATATTCCCTTAAATATATTTGTTCAATATTTGGAAAGAAGCAAGATGACATATTCATGCTTTACAGTGATAAGGAAATGCTTTCTATTCTATCAGTAACCAAGGAGGATGATAAACAGCAACTATTAAAGTTAAACAGTGGATCTCAAAGCAATTGTAAATAGAGAAACATCTTCCTATTGGGTTAGGTGGGTTACCTCAAGATCTGTTCTTTGCCCCATTGTATTCAATATTTTTGTCAATGCGGGAGTGGTAAATAATAATGTGGTCAAGTCAGCAGTGAAAACCAATTTGGTTTGCTTAGTAAGGTGAGTTCATTTGAACAATGTGACTTTAATGCAACCAAATACAAACCATACATCAGGAAACAAAGAATGTTGGTCACACTTAAAGACAGGAGAGAGTACTTCTGAATGTAGTGATACTGAAAAGGATTTGTGGTCATGCTAGATAACCAATTGAGTATGAGCTCAAAGAGCAATGCTATAGCTAAGTGGGAGGAGTTGGCCGGGAGGGGAATTAATCCCTTGGATGCATAAACAGAGGACTGGAAGGTGGTATTGCATCTGCAGATAGAATTAATGAGATTATTACTGGAATACTGTTTCTAATCTTGGTATCCATATTTCAAAAAGAATGAAAAATTGGAATGAGTTTAGAAAAGAGCTACAAGAATGCATCGAGGTTTGGAAAACATACCTTATAATGCACTAATTAAGAAGTTCAATCTATTTATTTTATCTAAGAAAAAAATTAGTGATAGCTAGTTGCAGTCTATAAGTACTTTATGTGGAAAAGAGTTCAGATATTATATGGTTCTTTAATTTAGTAGAAAAATGTGTAACAAGATCTAGTGAAAGTTAAAGCTAGACAAATTCAATCTAGAAATAAAACACACATTATTCACAATGAGGATAATTAGCCATTGAATCAGTATAATTAGGCATAGGGTTATTTCTCCATTGCTTGATGTCTTTAAATCAAGACCGAGTATCCTTCTTAAAGAGATGTTATGAACTTGATGCAAAAATTATGGCCTATGTTATGCATGAGATCTGTTCTGGCCTTAAAAATCTATGAATTAATAAACATGCAGATTTTTAAAAATGGGCGGAAGCTGGATGAGAGCAGAGAGAGCACAAGACCCGAGAAAAGAAAATGGGAAGGGAGAATGAAAGGGCAAAACATGGAAAGAAATGAAGAAAAGTTGACAGAAGACAGATTAATGGAAGTAGCATGAGATCCCAGCAGGTGGCACTGTGCTATGACATTGCTTCCACCGGTATGTTAGGAAAGTGTCTTACTACTTATAGTGGAAGGCAATTTCTGCAATCATTTTTCTTCTCTGCCGGTATGCTTGGTCAGAGAATCCCTGAGACAAAAAGGAACAGAACATGTATTTCAGTTTGTTAACATGTCATACAAAAAAGTTCTCATATTTCCTGCACTATCACGTACACTCTTAATATAAAAGATAGAACTATGCAGCACTTTAAAGACTAGTTAAAGTTAGTCAGCAAGACCAGACTAACATGGCTACATCTCTATTACTACCCTTAATATAGGAACTGTGGTGGGCAGATAAACTCACCCACACATTAGCAGGTAGCCACTGCCCCTCATTACAACAGAGACCCCTCCTTTCAGTCCTATCTCCATTCCCTATCTCAAAGTGAGAGCTCTGTATTCTCCTTCCAGGTGGAGGGGATTGGATCCTGCTGCCCCAAATGCAGTCTATTTGTCTGAATGATTGTCTATTCATTTTCTGGGAAGTAAGGTCCTTCAAGCCAAATACAGGGCATCTTTACTCTTTCTCTCGGAAACCAAGTCTGAAACAGAACTAGTTAAAATTGAGGCAGGATAGCCATGAAAATTGCCTCAGAAGTGAGATCTTTTGGACTGGGGAACAATCCCCTTAGAGATGTAGTAGAAACCCATCTCTCATAAAATAATACTAGACTAAGCACCGAGGAATACAATATCCTGCAGGAACCAATCCTGTACTGGCAAGAAGGAGATAGACAAGATGGGATAACAGGCAGTGCTAGGCCAGAAATGATTTTCCCGGACTAAGAAAATGTTTGACATTTTGAAAAGCTTTCCTGTCCCAATTTTGGATGAGATGTCAAGATCTCAAAAATGTTAATGAACTGATTATCCCAGAAAAGTTTTGGTTTGAGTCTATCAAAACACTTCCTTTTTACATTGATCTTTTAATATTTTAATTCCCCCCCCCCTCCAAATTTCAAACTGAAAAGTCATTTGGAACAAACAAACATTCTTCTGCCCAAAATTCTCATCTTGAAAATGTCAAAATGTCCCATTTTGAGAATTTTGAAATTTTTTCAAACTTTTTTTGGCTATGAAAAATGAGTCCAAACAGACCCTTTCAGGAAACCTGTTTTGCTTTTGCAGAATCAATATTTTCTGATGAAAAAAAAAGGGTCAAAAAATTCCTGACCGGGCCCAATCACAGGTACTTTCCATTACTCTCTCTGTCAGAAGACATGTGGAAAGTGAGGCTATGTTTGAACTCATCAACTCACTGGGTGGTCCAAATCCAAGTCAGGGTCAAACTTGGTGACTAAGTGATGACACTTGTCAAGTTCAGAGATTTTTCTTGGAAACCAGTAAACTGTAAAGAGAAATAAGATCACAGAAGTGAATGTTGAGTTAAGTACATCTCATGTCACGTGGAGAGGTCATAGCACACACATGACCTGATGTGGCACATGCATACACACATGCTCACATCAATTCTAAATAAATTGTTCATGATATCACCGTGCTTTGATGACTATGCTCCATGACGCCCATGATCCCTTTGTTTGGGGCACCTACCCTCAGCCAGACACAATAAACTAGTCTCCACCACATGATCAAACATGGATTCCCTCTCAACATCCCAGCATAATGACTGCCCTCCCCCCTCACGCACACACCTTTCGCTACTTCTGTCGATGAAGCTCAAAAACATCAAGGGTTAGGTGGTAAGGGAATAAATCTATTTTAGCAGCCTTCCCAGGCTTGTGTGAAGTTAGGGAATAATCATCCAATGATGTGGACCAGGCTATTCACCTGCATTGCTAGGTCACGTGCAGCACTGATTAGCTAAAGATGAAGGGACAAAATTGCCAGGAATGCAGGGGGAAAATGACCCCATATTAGCAGGGTGATACCAAGAATTCCAGGCACATGATCTTCTGATGCCAGGTATGGTAAAAGAAAAAAACCCCACCCATGACTAATCACTTTCCCATCATTCCCATCTTCTGCTCTCCTTTCAATTTGTATTTCTGGCCATATATAGCTAGAGCTGTTTCCTCTCCATCTCTAATATAAGGGCAGAGATAATATCATGTTTAAAACACCTACCAATTCTCAGAGTGCTGGTATCTTATTAGGAAAGAATTAAAGATCTTAAGGAACCTCTAAGGCTACTTGACATTTTATCACCTACCTAATGGCTTCCCCATGAATCAAAATTGGGAGGAAGAGAGAAATCCTCTGATATTAGTGCTGTATCAAAATAAAATTCTAGCTCAACTAAAAAGAATTAATTTCACTAGTCCTTAAAGACAAGCAACTGGCCAAAGGTGTCTCACTGATGTAGAAAGAGCACCATCCAAACACACTTGTAGTTACTGATACGGGGGAAGAAAGATCAGAAATATAAATTAGACAACTGGTTAGAATAAGAAGCGTGAACTCTGTATAGTGTTGGGAGATGGGCATTAAATTCCTAATTCTGTTGCTTTTAGACCTGGAAGAAGGAATCTGACCAGTGTTCCCTGTTAGCTGTGGGCTGGGGCAGCCACCCAGCAGAGATCTGGGTGGCACCCAACTGATTAGGAGAGTGCCCACAGCCAGCAGCATGTGTTTCTGCTGGTGGTGCACATTTGCACATGGCTTGGTGCACATAACAAACTGTATTCTGCATGTGGATGGAAAAAATTAGAGGGAACATTGAATCTGACACCTCTTAAAAGGTGAGAAGTGAGAGAGAAAAGAAGGGAATTAAGGAGTCTACTCTCATGGGAGGTGTATTCTATTCTATTTATTCTATTCTGATCCCCGGCACCTGAGTGTTGTAATCCCTATGCCAGAGTTTCTCAAGCTCAATCTTCATGTTAGAATGGAAGAAACTGAAACAGCTGCAAGTTCCTTACACTTGTCTTCCTTAGTGCTCCTCACTTCTTCTGATACCCTTTTGATGGAGCTCATGAGAGTGCTGACATCGGAGCTATGGACTTCACATCGTATAAAATATTCCAGCTCAGTGGTCCCCGCCCGAGGCTTCCTGCTGGGCCTTGTCTCCAGGTGGTGAATTTTAGCTTCAAATGTCTTTGGAGAGTGGAAGAGGGGAAAACATACAATGTAAAAATACAGGCTTTGATAACATTGCATTGCAAACTTTCCCACAGGTGAAATTAAAATCGGGAAGAAAATCCAGAAACACAAGCCTTTCCCCAGGAGGCCTGCATGGCAGGCGTCTGGGTATTTCTAGTCCTGATCTGATAAACTCCTAAAATCAGAACAAGACACCTTCCTGTTAATGCCATCCCTTTTATATACAGCAATGTAAGATGGTTGAAATTCTGTGACTGAAACTTTCTCCCATTACAAATGCAGCTTAATCAAGAAAATGTCCATTTTGATTAAGCTGCATTTTGTGACAGGAACATGTTTCTGCAAGAAAATGTCAATTATGTCAAAAACCACATTTTGTAATGTCAAAAATTGAGCACAGGAATATGGGAACCCTTTGAAATGTGAACCACGGGGCCATTTTTCAATTCTCCAGCTGGGAGAATTAAAATGAGAAAAAAAATCTTTGGAAACAATCGATCTCATTTTGAAGGAGTGGTTTGAAACAAGATTTTTGCTTCAGTTTAGAAGATCAAACTTTCACCTTTGCAATGTAACATTTTCAGATTTCTTTTGGTGAACATTTTTCTGTATTTTGGCTTTGCACTCTCACTCGGGTAAAAAAGTTCTTTCTAACTTCTGGCATTTCCTGTGTATGGAACATTGCCCTCTTCAAACAGTGCTCTTGCCAAAGTGATGAGGACTCTGGCACTCAAGTGGCACAAGCCCTCAAATCAAATGGCTGCAATTTGTTGTAGTTGCAGAACCTTAGTACTTATTTTTGAACCACTGCGGTACATATAGGTCACCTATATGAGTGTCAAGAGGAAGTGACATTCCACCAATACATTTAATGTCTCTCAAATGCCTCCTATGGGTGTGGATTTCACCCAGTGTTACCCTAAAGGAAGCAACACTCTGGGTGAGGAGTTAGCTTTTCTTTTCCAGGCCCTGTCAGTCTTGTGCTCTGGCCAAGGTGCTGAAATGTCGAGGATAAAGAAATTGCCAATTCAGTAGATGATGTCTGAGTCGTCTTTTCTCTCTGAAGGTGCTACAGAGTCAAGCACACAGATTTACTCTCCCTTTCCAACAGGTTTTCATGCATTATACCCATTTCCACTGAATTCTTCTTTAAGGCTCTCCTACCACAACTACTACATCTCAGTTCATTCACAGACTCTTGATACCCCAGTCCAAAAAAGCTATCAGCATCTCTAAAAAGTAATAGGAAGAACCAACCATGACCTGCCCTTTCACACCTCCCAGATGGGAAGCTAGATGCTTGGCATGCAGCTTCTGCCATCTTCCCATCCCCTACTAGCCTGGAAGCAATATTTTCATTCTAATCCCCAGCATGTAAACAGGCGGGGTGATATTGCTTGGTCACTGGGCTGCCTCACAGAGCATTGTGATGGATTGGGTTAGTTTCTCTTCCAGTGCCCTGAATCCTAATACATGGAAGTAACTCCCTTAATTAGTAACTCACTTCTGCTCCATTTGGAATTAATTACTAGACACTTATGAAATATCTGAAAGAGTTCTCCTTTGGCTCCTGTTATCTTTGTTCCCCAGCAAAGGGAAAGAAGCAATGTCACAGGAGATCAGCCAGTGCCTGTGTAGCCATTAGAACATCTTACTGCTGGTGAACAATTGGAACATGGCCTCATGCTCTACCTTCCAATCTCAGTGACAAAGCTAGGAGTGCTGCTAGGGATGGCTTGTGTACTGGAGAACACCAAGGTGCCCACTAGAAATACCTGAGAAAAGGCCAGATCCTCAACAGGCATAAACTGGCATAACTTAATTAAAGTTAAATGGAGCTCAGATGAGTTACTTGTAAGCACAGATGTGGACCATCATACTAATTCTTTTATTAAACATGAAAGAAAGAACCACAAAAATCAGACATTTTAACGGAAATCGACTAGCTTATAAATCAGTCTGTTTCTCAATAGCAACACTCAAGTGGCTCATTTTGCTCTGCTGTCTCTAGACTAACTGAACACAGGTTCAAGTTAAAATATTAATTCAAGCCATGACTATTTTTTTTTGCTTACTCCTCAAGCATTTGTATAAAGGAAAACAGTAGCTTATAAACTTCATTTTAGCACATGCACTGAAATGATTAATTTAGATGGAATAAGAGACACCAAAGAATTAAAGATGTTAACATGATCCTGAAACTCTCCAACATTAAACAGACCTCACCAGGACAAACACTTTATTAATTTTTAAAACATTGGATTAAAGATACAGAAAAAAGAGAAAGAAGTAAAGCATCAGAAACTGAATACTTTTATTCTAATATCACTTGTTCCCTTTCCCTTTAGAAGCAATGAGTCTTTAGAAGGGAAAAAGCCTTCTTAGACAGTCATTTAGAAGCTGTGACAGGTGGCAGTAACTGTCCCTCTGAGCAAAAGAACAGAAGCTAGTTGGAAGGGAGCTCTTGTTATTGCTTTTGTTGTTGAAGTCTGACCCTGCTTCCATTCCGACATAAATAAATGAGCACATGTAAAATTGGCGGGGGGGAGGGAGGAGAGAAGATAATCAAAGAGAGAAAATACATTTTTTTCTCTGGTGTTTAATCTTACTTGTGGCCTCACTATGTGAGGGGGAGAGACTACAAGCACTACGCATGATCTTATTAGCCACTTCAAGACCTAGGAAACTTGTACCAGCCTCTGGCTGCTTAGGGCCTGGCTTTTAGCTGCCTTTCTGATTGCAGGATTACCACAGAGGGGCTCAAAAGAGAAGTTTGACCAGCTAAACCAGACTCTTATTAGACAGAAAGAAAAAGGAGAGGGAAATAAGGTGAGGAAGAAAATGACACATGGGAGTGCAGGAGACAAAGTCTAACATCCCAGGAAGTGTTTGGAATTTAGTCAAAGCCAATGGAAGTGGCACTGTCATCTGACTCCCACTCTTTAGCCTGGTCTGGGCAGGGCAGGGCAGGGCATCTCTCAGAATTAAGACAAAGAGGGTCCAGAGATCCAGAAGTCAGCGTGTGAAGTAGCCTGCTGGTGAAACTTAGCCTGACTTTCTTCTTGAGGACTCCAAAAGGGACTAGTGGGCAGAACAGCCCCTGCCCCTTCATTGTTTGTCCAGTAATTAGGCCTAATTTTTGACACATCAGTTTTGATTCACTGATGGCTTGTCCCACATTTTTCTTGTTTATTAGGCATGATTTTAACATAATCTTTGAGCTATATCAATAGGCCTTTTTGTTTGTACTAATTCAGGCTCTCTCTCTCCCTTTTGCATCTTTTCCTGGTCACATTTATTAAGTTATTGTGACACTTCATGAACTTGCACTCATTTTTTTTCTGTGGAGTTTACAATGAAGATAAATGGATAGTCCCATTTCTTACAAAAGTTGAGTACACACAGCCAGAACTAATGAACACTTCAGTTGCTGGTTTGTGTGTCAAAGATTTTCACAGCAATCACTGACTTTTTCTCAGACATAGAAAAAGCAGGTCTGAAACCCAGATCTTCAACTCTCAGATCATAGTTATCATCTGGCTGCTGACTAATACCCCTAGCGAATGGGCCCTGTGGGACCCAATGAGCTAGAGGTGCTGCCCATGAAGCTCCCAATTGGAAGAGATGTCTAACCTCTCCCTTTGACTCCAGCACTTAATTCACTCAGGGTACCTCTACACAGCAGCATTATTTCAGAATAACTGATGTTCTTCTGAAATAGCAAAGTGCGCATCTACACAGCAAACCATTACTTCGAAATAGTGTCGAGCTGGAGGACTGCTTACTCCAACTCCTGTAACCCTCATTTCATGAGGACTAAGGGCAGTCAAAGGAAGAGTGTTGTTCTTCCTTCAACTTCCTGCTCTGGGCAGACAGAGCCAAAAGCTAAATTAATCTGTTTTGACTTCAGCTATGCAATTGACATAGCTGAAATTACGTATCTTAATCTGACTTTTGCCCTGTGGTGTAGACGTATCCTGAGATAAAAAGTGGAGAAGGTGGAGAGGCCTTTGGCATCCACTGGAGGATTCTGACAACTTCCTGGATAGTTTCCCTGGTGCAGTGAAGTCTGATCTTTGCAACCCCACTTCTTTGGGTGATGACCCAGTCTTTTTAAAATCTCTGCATTCTTCAGTAGAGGAAGGAGTGTGATTTTTAGTTAATGAGAGGCAGCACGAGGAGAAGGCATGGAGGCAATATCACAGATAAATTCAATTTAGGACCATGATTTTGAATGTCCCTACCCACTTCTCTATTACATTGTCCCCCCAATAATCAATACCTTAGCATTAATCTGACAGCTCTGATTGCATTACCAATGCGTTGGCCGCCTGAAATGCATACAGCAGAGGGAAACCAGCCTCCCTGCAGCCTGTTTCATGATGAGGCAAATGTCATTACACCCGTCTGTTTTCATATCTTGTACCTGCATTGCCAGAGGGACCTGAGAAATGAATCTTCCTCTCTTGTAACTTGACACGCTTGTGGCTTTAAAAAAACACAACAACTTCTCTTTGTCAATCTGAGAGGAAATTGCCCCCAAGAGAAAACAGATGCCATTTGAATAAAAGTCACTCTGAGTACTTTTTAAATTGTTCTCTGCCTTAGTGTTCAGAGAGAGAGAGAGAGAGTAAAATAACTACCCAAATCTAGTAAATGCAGAACCCTGTACAATTCACGGATGAGAAGCACTCCACATCTCATAGTGGGGAAGTAGTAAATTGTGTTTGAAATCTGTTGTCTGAACTCCTGAGCCTTTTCTGACAGCCACAAACTTCCTGGAAAGAGACAGCAACTGTGACAAGAGCAGCAGGGCTCTCCAATACTTGCCTTATGGACACTTCTGATCCATAGCTCCCACGGCAAAGGCTCAGTTTCAATGAATGTTCTTTTTCTACCTGTCCTCAGCCGCTCTGTAGCATTGCTGTGTATTGTTAATGGTAGCCTGGTTTCAGCCCCCAGAAGTGGCTTAATTTCAGTGTGGACTAAGATGTTACATGCACATGCACACACATGATCTAATTCTCCTGTCATTCACACCACAGAAGAATTTTGCTGAGTTGGCAGTGTTCCCCCATACGCTAGTCACAGATCTTCCCCCCACACCCAATGCACAGTGTTCATTGCGTGCAGTACAAGGGGCTAGCCACTCACCTCAAACACTTTAAGCGCATGGGACAGCGAGGAAGTTTTGGCTCCCTTGAGGATGAAGAAAAGGTTCAGCATGGCCTTCCCATCCTTTTCCTCAAAGACAATAGTTTCTGAGGACTCCGCAGCTTCGGTAGCTGCTGCTGCGGCTGCTGCAGCTGCTGCAGCTTCTCTCTCCTTCCTGGCATCTTCAATGAGGCTCTGCCGTCTACCAATGAACCGTGGAGACTGGAAGGAGAGCAGAGTTAGAAAGCAGCAATCCTCTCCTTAACACAGCTGAGGGAAAATGTGACTCCCACCACCAGAGACCCACCCTAATCCGCCTTCAAGGACTAGCAAGAATAGCTATAATTGGAGACAACTAGAGCCATCTGGCTCTGCAAACCTGGGTCTGGGCCCAGCCTCATTTCAAGGTTCTGAATTTAACCGTATGTGTTGTCAAGTGTTGCAGCTGTCCCACCGCAAAGGGTGCTCTAAAGGATTCAGGTGGGCAGCCATTGGGGGAAGGTGGCAGAGCTGTTACAGACACTGTTGTAAGTAGGGTCGGATGTATTGCCCATTGATACCAGTGGAAAGACTCACATTAAGTTCAGCTGGAGTTGGTGCAAGTCTCCCGTCAACTGTGACTAGGTCAAGCCCCTAGTGCAGTGAGGGGCCCTCCTTCATCTCAGTGGGCTGCAAAATGGTCATAACCAAGGTGGTCTCCCAGGATAGGATAGTTTTGCTAATTGTACTTGCGTACCTATAATTTGTGGGCTGTGCCAACTGAACTCTAGCAGCGCTTTGACTGGCTGCGGAGGGGGTACACGGCTTTCACAGTAAACGTTGTGTGCAATCGGCACATGTCCATGCTTTGCATGCATGTCACTTTTGTAACAGTGGCAGAGAAAAAAACTACACAGACAAAAACCAGCAGAATCTGGCAACCTTGTCTGTGGGGAACAGGAAACAAATTGTCTCGTGGGCCACAGATAGGATTCCAATGACCAGGAAACAAAATGTCTCGTGGGCCACACATAGGACTCCAATGGATCTCATGCAGCCCTCGAGCTACTGGTTGCCCACCATTGCCCAGGTGAGTGACCCCTTTTCTACTGGAAGCAGATTAAGGCACATCATCTTTGCCCTTCACATTCCCCCTGTGTAGACTCCTTACTGTAGCTAAGAAAAGTGTGTGTGTATTTAGTGTATTACTAAGGCTGAGCCTGGAGTTTGCTGTGGGCATTGTGGATTCTATTATGTCTGAGATCTGTTTCACAATAAAGCAGCTTCTTCTAGAGCCTTGGGACACACTGAATGAAACCCTGGCCTCCAATGAAGGCAGAAGTCCGGGTCTCACAAGTACCTACTGCAAGGAGCTGAGTAGCTTCGATTCTCATTGGTTTCCATGGGAGTTACAGGTTCCCGGTGTCTTGGAGAGTTAGTTCTCTCATGCTATGGTAGGTTCCAGTGCAGAGGGAATATGCCAACCCAATCATCTTTTACTTACGATCTTTTTATTCACTGCCCATAAAAACAGATCTTGGGCCTCATTCTCTGTTGCTGTATTTGGGCTAGATTCATTTACATCAGTAGAGAAATTGATCTATCCCTTTTTTGTGGGTGCCTTCCCATACACCAGTGGTTCTCAAAGTGCAATTTGGAAGGCGGTGGTCCATGGCTCGAGCTAATCCCCTCCCCCCCACACACACACATTCCCCTCATGCAGCAGGGAGACCACGCTGCCCCTGCAGCCTCATGTTTGCCCCGCAGCCACAAAGGCTACAGCACCAGCTCCAGCTTCCCACTTGGAGGGTGCAGAGTGGGCGGAGGTGGGGCCAGTACACAAAGGCTACAGCACCAGCTCCAGCTTCCCACTCGGAGGGTGCAGCGGGGGCGGAGGTGGGGCCAGTGTGTGTGTGTGAAGAAAGCCCCAACCCTCCCCACCAGAGCTGGCTGGTGGAGAGAAACTCCAGCTCCTAGGAAGTTTCCTTTTGCCGAAGAAGGCTCATCTGTAGCTATGTGTGGAGGGGAAACCCGGCAATGGGGTTGTTTCACTGAAGGGGCAGAGGAGATTGCAGAGAAGCATGGATGCCAGGCAGTGGGGGTGGGGTGGGGAATTCTTACTGCTTCTCCATCCCCTCCCGCAGGAAATGTGAGAGCGGGACTCACAGGGATTTCCGGGCGGCGGCGCTTCCTAGCGTGGAGCCTCCCCCAGGCTGCTTAACCGGAGGCTCGTTCCAGCTTCCCTGGGAGCTGCTGGAGTTACCACCCTTCCCAGACACCCTGTTGGTCCCCAATGCCTCCTGCACATGGGATGGGACAACTCACTTCACCCCCACCCCCACCCCCACACCCTGCACAAAGGCAGGAGCTCCAGGAACGTGGGGCTTTCTGCTGGGATGGCATAAGAGTGCGGAGTCCCATGCCCTGCTGGTGTTGGCACAGACCCGGCCCGCCCCACCCTTACATGTGTCTGGGAGACAGACAGGAGGCATCTGAGGTGTGTCTGCCAGGCGTGGGGGTGTGAACAGGGCAGGGGATCTCGGTGAGTGGGGAGGGGTTACCTGTGGGAGCCTCTCAGTAGATGAGGGGGTAGCTGTGGGAATCTCTATGTGAAGTGTGGGGGAAGAGGTGACTGTGGGATCTTGTGAGTGTAACTGTGGGGGTCTCAGTATAATGGGGTGCCCGTTTCCCTGTGTGAGGATCAGGAACAGCAGCTGTGTCAGTGGCCCCTTTGGGAAGGGTGATTACCCCCCACTCCCCCCCAATCAAGTGCCTCTCACAAGCCCCAGTGCAGGGAGCATGGTACTCCTGTCTGGGGATGGGACAGGCACAAGGCCCCAGGGAAGGTAGAAAGGGGAGCAGCAGAAAGTCCAGCCCAACCTGGGGTGGAAAAGGAGCCGCAGGGCCTGGAGCAGAGAGCAGCAGGAGCAGGTGGTGGCTGCAGAGGAAGAGGAAGACTATGAGGAGAACGAGGATTTCTCCGAGCTGCCCAACACCTGCAGCATCACCCAGCGGCAAGAGGAATGAGGAGGAGAGTTGGTCTCTGGGGGAGTCCGAGGTCAGCAGCCCTGAGCCCCCAAGACTCTTCTGAGCCTGCTGCAACAACAACACTGGCAGCCTTGTCACACTGAACCCCTCATTTTTGTCCCCACAGCAGAGCCTAAGGGGGTCCACAAAATCCTGAAACCCCAGAAAAGTAAATCTGGCCTTTGGGAAGTCCTGAACCTCAGTCCTCCCTGTCCCTTCCCCTCACCCCGTGGGGCTGGAGTGCCAGAGGAGAGAGTTGTCTCAGTTGGGGGCCATATCTGTGAGGGTTGGGTTTTTTTGGCGGAGTTTTTATTTTTGCTTCTCACTTGTGTGGTCCCCAACTGATTTTTCTGTGGGTCAGTGACTCCCGACACAAAAAACTTGTAATAAATGTATTTATGCCATAAATAAAACATTGAAACCTTTGTTTTTGGCCGTAAATTTTTTTTTTTTTTGCTTTATTTTAAATGAAGTTTGATAAACTAACATGAAAAAGTTAAAAGGTTTAATCTGTTTAATAATTTAAATCAAACCATTCTCCCCAGCTGCAGCACTAGCAAAATGGCTTGGGCATAAATATGTAATTAATGGTCAGTTTTCATTAGCAACTGGTGGTCCATGGAAAGGTTTGCATTGAGCCACGTAGTCCATGGGCCAAAAAGTTTGAGAACCACTGCTATACTCTGAAGCAAGAGGTGTCTCTGTGGAGATTTATGGCCTGCACATAGCAACTTTTATAGACTCCCATTATTGTCTTTTTTTAACCGTTCTTATCAGAGATAATAGTTTCAAATACATCTGAAATGGCCTTAACTGGACTATAAGTGAGTGAGATAGTCCATCTGTAAGCTCCCACCAGGCTTGTATCTACTGCTTATTATGTGGTTATATGTTCACAAAAAAGCTATGACCAGTGAACCTGGCCGAGCACACTTGTGGTAATATACCTCCTTGCCACGGCAAAGCTTAGCAACAGAGTGGGCTTAGCAGGTCAGATAAAATAAAACCAAACTGAATCTTTATTCCTGATTTGAAATTTCTGTGCTCCTGTTTGCAGGGAACTGAGGAAGAAGAAAGACTGTTTCAGCTAGAAACAGGAAGGATTGTGAGCTTCTGAGAAAACCTGCTCCCAGCCCAAATTTACATGTGTATAAGAGATTTTAGTTCTGCTAAAACTTTCGGATGCTTTCCCAAGTGGAAAATCTTATTTGTATGACAGTAGCCCCTACTCAGATCAGTTGTGCTAGGCATTTTATAAGCAGAGGTAGAAAGCCCCTGACCTAACATCTAGATGGACAAGGCAGACAAAGGTTGGGAGAAATGAAATGTTATCCCCATTTTAGAGATCTGGAACTGAGGCACAGAGCGCTTAAGTGGCTTGCCCAAGTTGCACAAGAAATCTGTCACAGAGCAGGAACCAAAGCCAGCTGCACTGAGTCCTTACCCAGTGCCTCAAACACAAGCCCTTCCTCCTTCTTGTATTGAAAATCTCTGAATTTTTTGAAATTTGCCCACCCATTGTTCTTCAAATGCGTTGAATAAGCCAGCAAGAGGACTAGTAAAGATTAGTACAATTTAAAGTCACTAAATATTTTTTCCCTCCAGTTGAATATATGTGACCTTCCTTATATAAAGTCAGGTTTTAAAGCATTATAAAATCTTTCACTTCTTTTTTCTCCCCACCTGCGTAAGTGGCAAACCTCGCCCATGTGTTTGGGCAGGGCAGGGCAGGGCAGGGAAGGGGGGAAGAGTCCTTTCCCTTCTATTTGTTTTCATAATAGAGGATTTTTCTTATTCGCTTTTGATTTGTTGTTGGTGGGTTTTTTTCAAAATATTGAACATTTTCTATGTCACAATTAGAAGTTTTCAAAATAGTAAAAAAAATCCTTTCAACTGTGGAAAAAAAAGAACCCTGCCATATGATGAATGATGACAACTCAGCATGGGCGCGTCTACACAGCACAGTTATGCAAATTGCATATCTTATTTTGAATCTATTTTGAAATTTGAAATTTAGTGGGTCTACACAGCACCAAATTGCAAAGTAACGTGCTATTTCAAGACATCCTTTAAACTTCATGAAACGAGGGTTACCAGGATGCTGAAATAGCACGCCCGTTATTTCAAAAAATATTTAGAAATAACAGGCTGCTTGTATAGATGTGGGATAGCTCTTTCATGATACTGCCAGTATCCTGAAATAGCCATACAGTGTAGACGTACCCTATGACGAGAGGAAGAAATGACTTATGAAAAAAACACAAAAAAGACTAATACCAAGAGATTAAAACCCAGATGGCTACATTTTTCAGTTAGTTTCCATTGAAAATATTTCAAAAATGTTGATAATTTTTCCAAAAGGTTTTGTGATTCTTTTTTTTAAAATTCTTGCAAAACGTAAACCTTCTCTACCATTCAGCCTTCTTTCTTTGCTCTTGTCTTTTTTTAATTTCCTCCCCTTACTTGTGTATTTTCTTTTTGAATCAATCTGGATGATCTAATAGTATGCAGCTAGCCTCAATGCTTCCCTCTCACATTTTAAACATAGGCACTTCTGGTTTTCTGAGCAGCATATTTTTATACATCAATCCACGTACCCACCCCGACTACTTTTTATGAAAAATTCCCTTATGTGGTGATATTTGCAGCTTGTCACACACTTGTTCCTTGCAGTATGAAACACACACACACACACATTTGAACAGTTATAGATTATCTTCATGATCAGGTGCACAATGAGTATGGAAGAGTAAGTAAGTATTCATGTCCAAACAGAAAATTCATCTAACAAATATATTAGATCCCAATTCAAGAAAGCATTCCTACGTAAGAAATCAATGGAAATGCTTTAAGTCATTCAAATGCTTAATTTAAACTTCCTGATACATGGGACAAATACCTCTCTGCAACACCCACTATCTATAACAAATACACTTTTCAATAATCCAAGACAAGCAATGCTTTAGCAAATCATATCCAATGCTAAGTTCAGTCAACATTAGCTTTGGCTGGGTAGAGGAAAAGAGAAGAAGAAGAAGAAGAAGAAGAATGAACCAAGCATGACAGATATTAAGGGCAGAGTTTTATGGGCTACTGGAAAGGGCTCTGAGAGCATGATCATGTGTGTTATGTAAAAATCTGAATAGAATAAGCAGACCAGATCATTTATAAATGATCATCACTTCCATTCGGTGAGTTATGTAGCATTCAGTCCGCAGCCTAATCAGATATTGACACTGTAGCTTTGCTAAAACTTACTGTATGACACCTCCCCCTTTTCATTATTAAGGTTTGCTTCATGGATGTGCCGCAGACTGTGCTGGACCAAAATGGAATCAGTTCCCTTCCTTTTCTGCAGCTGGTTACTAGAAAGAACTATAGAATCCTCCTAGCAGCTGGCATTCACCTACTATGACTAGGTAAGTTAACAAGATACTAGATTTTGTTTGGGAGGGCCTGGAAAGGGGGTGATATTTGTCTGCCATCTCCACTGCTTACTTTATTCCATCTGTTTGCTGGTTTTCTATCAGGCTGGTCTCTCCTGCTATTCTCCTTTTTCCTATTTTTAGGCTGTTATTTAAATCCAAAGGGGTTAAGTTATAACTCAGTACAGTTGCACAGGATTTTCATTACAAAGAAAACTAATTCCTCCTTCCACATTGGCAGTCCTCTCGGTTTGCCTTTTTTTTTTAAGAGGTCATTGTTTAAAAGGTTTGTTTGGAATCAGCTTGCAGATTAGTGTATGTATATTTTAGAATCCTTATTACAATAAAAGCACTTTTGTTCTTTTAGTCATCAGGTTGCTTATTCTGGACTAGATGTGGTACTTTACTCCTACAACCGCCCTTTTGAAATTGAAGTAACTCAGACCCTGACTCAGTGTGAGTAAAGATGCTGGAGTAGGGCCTTCTGAGTTTAAATAACCACAGCAAGTTGGCTTTCGCCTTGCTTATAGTTTTAAAGAATCTAGGAAATAGAGAGGATTTTACTGGTTATAAACATTTACTATAGCCTAGTATACTGATTAATATTGTGTCCTTATTTCCTTTAGCCAGTATAGCTTATTTTGTTCAGCAACTGATACTAATTATACTAGCAAAAGCACTCTTTTGCTGGTGAGTTTTTGACATTACAGTTATGATGTCAAACCCTTTTTAGGATAGACAAGGCTTAAATCATCAATGCTTAGAGACAAGCACTTTCTTTTCATTCTGTTTTCAAGCAGCACCAAGTGCAATAGGTTCGTGCTATGATCATTTTAATAATAAAGGAAACAGAACAGCTCCATTAGAACAGACTGAGTAAGAGAGTCAGGAAGCAAATCTAGGTTGTTAAAAGACTGAAACTAGATGACAGCTTGTTCTAGACATACAGGTCCAGATTTTTAAAGCTATGTAGATGTTGCTGCAGTCAGCATCACGACACCCAAATGATTCAGAAATTTAAATCTCATTTTCAAAAGGGATTTAGGCACTTAGTCTAAACCCATTAATTGGCTACAAGTTCTTGACTCTGAAGTGTCTAAATCCCTTTTGAAAAAAAGATTTAGATTCCTAAATCAGTTAGATGTTGTGATGCAAAGCACAGCAACACTGACATCTCTTTAAAAATTGGGACCACAACCCGTTAATGGCAGAAATGCAGAGGCAGAGCCTCAGTGAATGAATAATGAGAATGTGGAAACCTTCCGCAAATGATGCAGTAAAAAGGATACAATCAAGAGGAAAAGATTTGCCATCTGTTATTAAATCCTAACACAGTTTTGTTCTAAGATTTTCCAAATCCCCGTCCCTTGGCAGGCAACTGTGTTTTGAAATAACTTGAAATCTGGTTATCAGCTTGTTGGTGTTGAAAGTGGTCTGAAAACGGGGTGTGTGTGTGTGTGTGTGTGTGTGTGTGTGTGTGTGTGTGTGTGTGTGTAATCTGGGTGCAGCAGCTTTAGTAAGACAGGATATACGGTGTCATCCCATCCCCTCAATCCAGTTCAATTTTTAAATTATCCATTTTGGTGGAAGGTGAGAATCACTGAAAGAGACAGAAGAAAACCATCTAACACAGTTTCATTCTGAGCTTTTCTACTCTTCCTTCCCAGGGTGCCACAAAGGAGACAGTATTACTATCACTAATTCACTTGATAAACAAGACTATTCAATTTCACAAAGGTTGTCATTTAAAGATTAAATACCCACATGAATTGTACAACACCAAATAAACACTCCATCCATTGTAAGCTCCTACTGTTACCATAAACAGAGGGGCAGGCTCCTAAGCATTAATTTAACTGGCAATCTGGAAAAAACAGTGTTCTAAGAGTTACCTGCTTTGCCAGCCAAAACAGTCGTTTGCTGGTGTAAGCAGCATCTCCACTAATCGGGTTCTAAGAGTTAATTACCTTGTAGGTCACTGTTTGCTAGTTGTAAAATGCCAAAAGTGAGATGTGACAACATCTGTGATTTTCAATGACTGTGTGTTATAAGAATCACACTTACCTTTTCATTTCCTAACTCTCCTTCCCTTCTTTTCTAGCATGCTACAGTGTCTAGGAAAGTTTTGTGTTTTTTGCTCAGTAGTTGATTTTACAAAATACACAGCATTGCAAAGAGCGGAGGCAAGAGTGTGCCAGCAAAATACTAAGAGCATAGAATGGAAAGTGCTATTCCCTGAAACTAGTATATCCAAAGTTTAATTCCAGTTTTACCAGGTTAAGCAACAATTATGTATTGGATGATATGACCTCCTCTGTCTTTTCTTTCCATGTCTAATATCTGTGGTTGTGGAAAATAGTAGAAAAAAAGACAACATGGGGAACTTTAATTTAGAGGATGAAGTTTGTGTGCTGCAATTCTCATCTGACTTTGGTAGGAAAAAGGTTGTACAGCCATTGCTAGGAAAAGCAAGAGGGATATTTAAACACATATATACTCTATAATATAAACATAAACTCTTACCTTATCCAGATTTTCAATATGTACTCTTTGCACATAGTAAGAGGCACATTTAAAAGTCTACTAATTTTAAAAAAACAAACTTTGACTTCTATGTAAGCGTGTTTGGCGCAAACTTTGGAAGGTACTAAAGTGAGTTTGCCAAAGGCAGGTGCCGGTCAAAGCTATCATTTAAGATCCTACTGTGCCCTAACTTTGGGGTATTAGGAAGTTGTTCAATAGAGTTGCCTGCCCACTGTAACAGTCAGCCATCTAGCAGAGAGAGAGCCTACCACAAAAAGGAACACACTGTACATTAAAGTTTTCTTCTACAGAATGCTGCATGCATTGTGGTCTGAATGGCTTTAATATCTCCCAGGGACATCATTTGGCACTAGATGACAAAATTGGTTTTAATTAAAACTCCCTGCACATCCCTAGCCCCTGGCCCACTGAATCAGTGTATCTGACACTCACCTGGATTCAGATTTTAAAGGTAGTTTAAGACCCAGCATCAGATGTTACCTTCCCCTCACATATAGCTATATTGCATGTGGGATTGTCCCATGCACTGAGACGCTGGCCCTATCTCTTTGTGGGTGGAAGCAGACCAGGCAATAATTAGATGGTACCAGTTAGCAAGTTTGCCTGAATGCCCACCACTTCGTAGCTTCACTGGAAAAAAGAAAGACCTGCATTTTCATCAAACAGGCAGGGAATAAAGCTCTTTAGCTTAGTGCCCTGAAATGAATAAACCCTAAAGAGTGCTTAGATGTTCAAAGTGCATTTTTATCCTGGGGATTCCTTGTTACTCTTGTTTCCACTCTCTAGAGGATTATTTTATTATTGGTTATGGTTCCCCATTTTCGGCTATTGATATTTATTGTGCCGTAGTTTGTGTGCATGAATGAGGGAGGCTGGATTTTATTTCTGACTGTGTATTTTTGCCTGTCCTGTGTGCCTACTTGCCTGGGTGCAGTGATGACTGAGAAAGAAAAGGATCAGTTAGTCCGGCTAGCTAAGCTTGCAATGCCCTGGGCAGCTTTGGCCATTCTAGGGCTGGCTGGGTTTGTGCATGCCTGGGGGTCGGGTGGGGGGTTTCTTACCATGATGGCCTCAGCTTGCTTGGAGTCCAACTCTGACACCGCCCTGCGGAAGCCTTTGGCCGAAGAAGTGGAAGAGTTGGGAGTTGGCATCCTGGCTGTCGCCCTGGCTCTGCTCTCAGCTTTGCCTTTCCTTGCCAGGCTTTTATAGGGCAGTTCTGACGTCAAAGACCCTTTCCCATCCCTCCCCCCACTTCCCATCTCCCTCCCTTTAGCCTGAGGGGGAGAAGAGAGAAGGAGGAGGGAACGTGGAGGAGAAAAACGCTTCTGTCCCATTAAATCTAATTGCTACAGAGATTGCAGACACCCTGCCTCTGCAAACCAGCCGTCAGCCCTTCTCCTCCTGCACCTAAAAGCATGTGCTTTCTAGTTCTCTTTCTCTCCTCCTGCCAATGGGAGTTTTCTTCTCTTCCACTTTCTTCTCCAGTTTGGGTGACACCGAACCAAAGGACTTTAACACTGCAAAACAATAAAAGCAAGGGAGAAAAAGAGACAGCCCGTTCAATCCTTTGTAGTCCAGAGCCCTACAATTACCTAGACAACGGAATTATCATGAATAATACAAGGAATGAAACTGGACGTTGGCATGCAGATTTGGGCCTGACTCTGATCTCACATAGAACCCCACCTGGTGTAAATCAGGAGTAACTGCTCAAGTCAAAGGGTGAGCTCTACAGGTGCAGTACATAGGCACTGCTCTCTTGACTTCAGCACTGATTGACATCAGCTGAAGATCTAGCCCGAAGGCATCAGACTGGTGTGAAACCAGCATAAATAAGTCTAGGATCCCTGGGGGGGGGGGGGGAGGAGGAGGAGGGGGAAGGAGGAGAGATTTCTTATTAAGAAATTGAATTGGAACAATATTTGATGGAGTCAGGGTGTTACTCCATCAAATTATTATTCCAAACCCAGTGACCCTCAGATCCACCGAGTTGTGACATTTCCCACCAGCTGAGGAGCTGCCTAGGGGTTTGGGGTGGCTGCACTGGTGGTGCTAAAACTGCCTTTTTCCCTTGAGCAAGACCAGCTGGAGTCTTATTGGAAACAACCTGTGATCATTTTAAACAGTGGTGTCACTGCAGCGTGCTGGCTTGCCAGCCCTCGAACCAAGGCCAGCTAGTGTAAGTCGCAGCAGCCCACTGGAACTCAACAGAGTTACAGGAGGCCCCGGCTTGCGACCACCCGAGTTGCGACCCCCCCCACACACACTTACAACCATTTTTGTAAGAGTGGAAGGGGCTGAAAACCCCTGACTTACATCCTCAGCCCGCATTTATGACAGCGCACGGCACCTACCATAAATGTAGATTCGACTTACAACGCCCCCAACCTGCGACGCTTTCCCCGGAACCAATCGCATCGCAAGTCGGCAGCCTCCTGTATGTCAATTTGCATTAGCTGAGGCTGTGTCTCAGAAACCCACTCTCGTTAATGACATGGGCTGCAGCATTGTAAGACTGAAGCCTAATCTACACCTCCCTCCCCCCCAGACTGCCCCGGTTGATCTAACCTCGTCAATTTGAGCTATACAAATAATGTAGCTGAAGTCAATGTACTTACTACACTGTTTTCCATGCAGTAAGGTCAGTAATGGCTGTTCTCCCATCAACTCCAGCTATTCTTCTCATCCTGATGGAGTGCAAGAGTCAACAGGAGAGTTCTCAGACGTCAATTTATCGTATCTAAATAGACATGATAAATCGACTGCTAGTGGATCGATCACTGCAGCATTGATTCGCTGTCTAGTGTAGACAAGCCCTCATTGTCCTCCCAACCCTGGCTGGAAGGGCCTATCTTCAGTGGAGAAATAATAGACTGGTCTTGATGACCTGTAGAGTCTTTAGCCTCCCTATGAAGATGGCCAAGTTGGTGCCAATGACACTGGTTGTTGCTGGGCCATGGATTCTCCCTCACTTGAGATCCAGACTTAATAAGCCCCGTTTGTAAAGTACTTGATATTTCTTGACTGTTGCAGTTTGTTGTTTGTCATCTACTACAGTAAAATAGGCAAGTGCAAACTGCTTGACAAAACCATACCAGTGGGCTGAGAGATTTTTGACCAGCACATTTGCGGGTGTATGGCAACTTAGCTTCTCTGACATCAGAGTTATGCCGCATTACACCAGCAGAGGGTCTGTCCCAATACAAAATGCAAATGCATTTCAAGTGAATGTGATCATTTTGGATTCCAGCACTAAACACAGGTAAATACCACTGCCAGAGGAGCATTGGCATCTTTATGGAGGAGTAAGATCCAGCATACCTGTGATTCAATAGCTGCCTCACAATTGGGTTCAAATACACGCTGGGCCAGAGAAGTGGGGAAGTCATGAAGATGTGGGTGACAGCTGCCTGGGGCCAGAGGAGAGACAGACAATTGTCAGAGGGGAAGGAGCACGGGGAGGAGAGCAGTAGCCACAAAGTGGTGACAATGAGTGCTAAAGAAAACACACCAGGGAGGACTGGCTATCACCGGCAGGAAGGCTTGTGGTGTGGTCCCAAGGGAGAGGAAAAGAACCAGCATGGTCAGCGTAAGCCAGGCCCAGAAGCAAGCAGTTGATTCTAGAGGGAGATGTCAAGATGTGGGGTGACAGCAAGGAACCCTCAGAGGTATAACACTGCAGAGAGACCTGGGCGGAGTGCCTTGGGAAGAAACCGAGAACAAGCAACTGAGAACCTCCTGGGGGCAAGTTCTTCTGAGCAGAGACAAGAACTGAAGGTGAGGAACCCTGGGACAATGAAACACTGAGGAGCCTCTCTTTCAGGAGACCTGACCTGGGGCTATGGGAGAGGACTTGTGGGAGAGAAGTGGAGCTAGGAACTCTCAGGAAGGAGGCCTGAAGGGTGGGGCTCTGGATCAGGACAGAAGAACTGGGGTAGAACAGCTAGTGACTCTTGAGTGGGTGTCCTCTGTAAGGGAGCAGAGAGCTGCTGTCTTGTAACTCTTGCACCATTTTGATGATTTTGAGAGGACCTGATTGTGCTATAAGGGGTCTGCAGAGCATGGCACTTTATCTGAATAAAAGTTTGGAATTTGCAATATTCCTTTGCACGTGTGGAGAAAAGGGAAACTGAGGAATGCGTGTGGTTGTGCCGCAGCCTACTGCAGGATGGTGGCACTAGGAGGGGCTTCCTTAAAACAGTGACTCTTCAGAGGTAAAAACTGAAGCAAGGAGCAAAGTACAAGCCAGAGAGCCTGCTAGCTCAACTTTCGTCTGATCCCAGCCACCTCTGCCTGCCTGATCTTCATGTGCAGTACCCTATCGCTCACCTTTTGAACACAGAGTTCTTTCCATGCCTTTAATTTCATCCCTAATCCCCTCTGTGCCTCTCAACCCCACTGTGCTCCTTCTGCTAAACACTGGCTGCTTGAAATGTGAGCTAAGAAAACAGTCTTACCCCACTGAAATGCAGGACAGCACTTCAGAACACTTGGGACCTTCCTACCTCAGTCCCCTTGAGTCAGATCTCAACGCACGGTGTCTGTCCTAGATCCATAGCAGTCCACTGTCCTGCTCAGTGCATGTGTGCCTCTGACATTGCTAGGTCTGGGCAGGGTGTTAAGGGAGGAGCAGAATGAGGTATACACTATGGACTTCATAAAATATTTCGGGGAAAGAAGCAGAGAGTGAGGCATGAGCGAAGTGCTGCTGAGCACCGGTGACTTTTGGATGCTTGAACAGCTCGGAAGCGAGACACAAATTAGAGTAACCCCAAGGCTGCGTTATTTTGTGCCAGTGGTTGAACTGGCCTCTGGCAACCTGTCAGGCTGTAAGATGGGAGGGAGGGAGAATGAGAGAGTGGGGGAGGGGAAGAAGAGCTGCATATGGTAGATTGCTTATAGCTTGTGTTTCTTCTTTCACTGGGCACTGCATTAGGAAGTTGTTCCATAGAGTTGCCTGCCCACTCTAACAGTCAGCCATCTAGCAGAGAGGGAGCCTGCCACAATAAAGGACACCCTGTGCATTAAAGGTTTGCCTCTACAGGATGCTGCATGCATTGTGGTCTGATTGGCTTTAAAATATAGGCGACCAAAATTGCTAATGAGCGGGGATTTAAATATCCCACGCTTCATTAGCATGATCTCACCGGCGCGCTATTCCTATCGTCAGCTGATTTGAAAGTGCATGCGGGACACGTTAGTTCAAACCAAACCCCTTGGTTTGAACTAACGTTACTCCTAATTTTTGGAATGAAATGTTTTGATTTTTTTTGAAACAGCTTTATAATTAGATATTTTTATTCTGCATTACATTATACATGATAATATCTACTACGGTGAATCAAACATCTTTTTAAAAACTCTCCTGCCAATGGAGAATTTTTAATTTTGGGGTTTCACACTGATTCTGAATGAAGCCCAAATTTGAAACCCCCCCAATCCTTTGTGAAAAGCAACTTCCATCCTCCACACAAGTCTGTAATATCTACCTTTAAATTGGGAATACTTAAGCCTCTTTCATTTTGGTAACTTAGTACTACCACACACTTGGAAAAGCAGAGCTTTTCTTAAAGTAGCTTTTAGCAGGGGATGGCAGGCATTAACCAGCCACTAATAACTCCAGTTGAGGGTATATTTTTAAACTATCCGTTCAAGTGAACAGAGGATATTGGCAAAGTACTTTGCTTTTAATAAGTACACTGAGAGCACAAAGTGTCATTTAAATGGTTCTCTAGCAGACAAATATAAATCAACTGAAGATTATTTATAAGGAATACCCCAGAAAATATTGGCTTTAAAACTACATGACACCACCAGAGAAGCTTTCGAGAATAGTGCTAAAATGGGTCCATTGGGTTGTATGTTCTGTCTACCTTTTGCCTTATTCTCGATTGCTTATGTCCATATGTAAACAAAGACTTTGTTGCAGTTCATCCATTCTTTCTATGTGTTCCACTCTCCTTTCCAAAGTCTGGGTATGTCTACACTGCAGAGTTTTATCAGAAAAAGTCAATTTTTCAAAAAAAAATTGAGGTTCGTTCACACTGTAATTGCATTCTTTTGCAAGTAAATCAAAAGAACAGAGGGATTTTTGCGGTATTGGTAATCCTCATTCTACAAGGAAGAACGCCTTTTTGCAAAAGAGCTTTTTCGCAAAAAGGCGTGTGTGGATGGGGAAGAGGGAACTTTTTTCGGAAGAAGAGGGAAGAGGAAAAAGCACAGGTGCCCTGG